CCCAGGGAAGACGGGAGAGAGAGAGAAGCCCGGATGAGAGAATGGGAGAAAGTCGAGGTTGCTGGTTTGGTTCCAATTTGGATTTTCGGTGAGCTGCAGCTCCCGTCATGAATTTTTTGGCAGTCAACCTGGGCGTTCAGGGTCTTTCCTGCTGGGTCTTGGTCTTGGGTCTTGGGTCAGATCCCAGTTGCCAGGAAAGGGCGGGATCGGATAATGAAAGTTGTACTGTGCGGTGGAACTGGAAATGGTGGAACCTCGTGGGAAACCCGTCAGGTAGACGGCGCAAAAGCGTTCCGTCGTGAGAAATGAAAATGCTACTTGGCTAAGGTACCTACCAACTCCGTACACTTCCACGAACAGCAGGGAAGGACTACCAACCTCAAGGTACCTCAGATGATACCTTCCGTGCGTTCCGTATCGAAACTCCGTACCTTCCTCAGAGAAACTGCGCTTAATAGAGAATGGCAGGAATGGCAGAGAATGAAGGAAGGTGTGGACGAAAAGGAACGAGGGGCACTTTCTCTTTGGGACCGGTGACACTTCACTGCTCCTTCTCCACCAACAGCGTCATTCCTCCACCTTAATCTCCATCCAACTCTCTCCGCTCCTTTTTTTTTTCTTTACTGCGAGAGAAGTACCCTTCCACCCTTCCACGCTCTCCCCTTCCACCTTGTCACCACCGCATCCCTCTCCGCCGCCTACCTGAACCTCTCCTCGACTGACACACGTCCTGTTATGCCCACCCTGTCACGACGCCGACCAACTGACTCGATGCTCTGCCAGGAATCGCACTGAAACTGCAGATAAGAGGAGCCGACGATACCCTCAAGCTTTCTGACCTACCTTGACAGCAAACACAATGCCAAGTGCCAACATCCAACTTGCTGCATCTTTTCCTCAAAGGAGCCACACCTGATGCTGATAGGCCCTTTTACACGCCCAATCGGGCCTTGCTGACCGCGACTAAGACACATTGCCGCCGATCATGCCATCTTTCTAGATTCCTTCTACGTAGTATTACTGCGTAAGACACCACCCCACACGACGGATCACCCCCCACGACGGATCACCCAATTTGGACGATTTTTTCCCTCCTTTAATACTACTATTATTACAATATATAAGTAATAAATAATTAAAAAAAATTGCAAAAATTATACTAAAATTATTAGTAGATTTATTATACTTAAATATATAGAAAAATATATTAAAAACGTATAATATAACGTCGGCTTTAATAAGTTAATTTAAAAAGTTATTATAAATTAAAAAATCCCTTATATTACCCTCTCGAACTAGTTACGAAGTACTATAATAATTAAGAAGTTAAAAAAGGATTATTAGAAGCTTAATAAATATTAAAAATAATCTCTTACTTACTAAGTAATTTTATAAAGTTAGTTAAGGTTCGCTCTAACTTATATTTAAATTAAAAAGTTTATAATACGTATTTTTTAGTAAAATAGTAACTAATACTTATTTTAAAAAAGTAGCTAAATAGGTTTTTATATAAAAATCTTATATTCTTAATATTATAAGCTTATTATATAGATTCTAAGTACGTTAAGTTTATTATTATTAACGTTATATAAGTTTTTTAAAAGATCTTAATACTCTTAAATATTTATAAAATCTTAATATCTTTTTATTAAAATATAAACAAAATAGGATTAATAAAGGGGAATAATAAGGATTATTTAGTACTAAGTAAGTTTAAAAAGAAATTTATTTATATTTAGATACTAAGAAACCGTACTTAGACTTTTATACTTAAGTATATTTTTATAAATAGCTAATATTTTTTATTATTAGTAATTTTTAAAGGGTAAACTATATAATAATAATAGTTTTTTTATAAAAATATTAAATTATACTTCGTAAAGCTTTACGTTTTTTATAAATAAATAGATTTTAAATATAATTAAGTTAAAATAGTTAATTAAGATATTTATTTTATAAATAGAAATAAAAACTAAGAGTTTCTTATTTAAGTATTTACTTATTATTAATAAGTATAATAATTACGTTTTTAATAATTTTATATAATAATATTATTTTAAGGGTATTTATTTATATTATTTATTACTATATTTTAGTTATATTATATAGCCCCTAAATATTTTAATATTCTTTTACTTAAAATATATTATTATAATAAGTTTATAAATTACGGCCTTTAGCTTAACTTAGTACTAATTAAGAAATAGAACTTTTTTTATTATTATTTTTAGGCCTAAGTATAAGTACTTATAAAATAGAATATATATATTAATTAAAAAGTAATAGGGTTATATTTTATTAATATATAATAGCCCCTATTTAGTAAATTTATTATTATAATATAACTTATAAACGTTTTATAAGTATTATTATAAGAGCCCTTATTTTTAAAAATACTTAAAATACTTTAAAATTATAATATTATTATTTTTAAAAAATTAAGAGATTTTAAAAAGTACTAAAAGCTTTAAATACGAAGTAAAAACGAGGTTAATTTTAATTTCGTTATTTATAAATTAATATTTAATAAAATAAATAAGTAATTAAATATTTAAAACGTAGCCCTAGCTAATACTTAATTAGTTATTAAGTTATTAAAGGTTTAAATATAATTATATAAACTAATTATAAAAGTAAAAGTACGTTAGAATTTAAATAAGCGATTTATATAAATTAAGGTTATTATAAGGGTAAAAAAAGAGGCTAAGGCTTACTTATAGTACTTAATTACGGTCTTAATACTTATAAATAGTATAGAAAAAGCTTAATTTATTAATATATATTTAGAATTTTAGATTTAGTAGCGTTATATTATTAATAATCGAATTCGTAGTTATGAGGTCGAAAAGTCGAAGTCTAGAAAATTATTTAAATTGGGTGATCCGTCGTGGGGGGTGATCCGTTGTGTGGGGTGGTGTCTTACCCTCTAGTTCTTCGAGGTGCGGACCACGGACTACCAATCCTCCTTCCCACTTGCCGGGCCTGACCAGACAGAGCCTCATCCCAAAGGTCACGATGCATCCGCCATCATCACTCGTCCTACTTTTCTTTCTACCAGTGCACATCGGTGCCGGCCAGCCGCAGGATGACAGCCAGCCATTCCAGCCACCACCACCCGCAGACACCTCAGAGAATCACCTGTCATGGCAATCTGCCTTTTGGGCCCTCCTCGCCCTTGTCCTCAATACCGCGACCCAACCGTGCGGGAAGATCTGCGGGTTCCCCTCGGAATGGGGCTTTTGCCTCAGGTGGTCGCCCGTTGTCTGCGTCATAAACTCACTTGAAGCCCTCAGCTGCCTCCGCCTCCACCGTCACGACTCTAAATGGACTCTGGTTGTCGCACCGCACAAATACGACACAGAAATAGATATCTCCCATAGTGACGTGGCCAACTTGCAGCGCAACACTTTGATCCGTATTGTCGCCTTCATCTTGGGCCCTCTATTACAAGCAACCAAATTGTACGCTTGCCGGGGCACCTTCTGGGTTCAATTTCTAGCATCCATCTATCTCGCCAGTTTCCTCTGCGATGAGTTGTTGCTCGGCCTTGTATGGATAGCCGGACCCGCGGAGAGCCGGAACAGGGTCATCGGGCTGGTCGAAGCCGTTGCGGGGAGTCGAATCCGTCCTCCGGTCCACTTCCCGCTCCTTAGACTTGGGAGCGGTGCGGCTATGGACGAGAACGACCAATTTCGAGACAGCCGCACAAATTTGAGACAAGCTCTGGCCATTATCGCCTCCCACTTGCTGCTAGGATGGTTTTTGGTCGAAACTATTACCGGAGCATACATGACGCACTTTCATGCCGTTATATTTAGCATGCTCGGAACGACTTTTCTTGGCAGCATCGTGTCAGGTATCTTTTGCGGCTTGCGTTCCTACAAAAAGCATCTTTCGATGCCGCAAGTCTTGTTAGACGTCCTGTATGGCGTTGGAAACGTCATATGGCCAACCGGACTTGTGCTTGCCATAGGAGAAAAGTGCCAGGAGCTGGCAGTGATACAGGGCAACGGTATCATAGACTTCAACGCCCAAGGCTCTGCCAGTCAATGGGCCTGGAAAATCGGAATGGTCCTGTGGACTCTGGAGATATCCCGATGGGCCCGGTTGCACCTCACAACTAGCAATCGATACGGGATCCCAAAGCCCGTGGACGTCATTCTTCCACTCTGGGCGAGTGCGCATGTTGTGGTTGCACTGGCCATGTTTAACTTTGCGTATGATCCGAGTCGTACCTACAAACCGGCTTGGACCGATGTGCTGGGATGAGATCACGCCATGACGAGCCAGGGACCAGCCAAGTAGGAGAAAGCGGACTTACTCGTGTCTACAGTACATAAGCAGGAAAGAAGATATTCACAAAGGATATATTCGCCTACCTACGACAGTCCGATGTTCGTCAAGGTTATTCGTATGGTCTGATGTCAAGGTCAGCGTGATGTTCGCCGTCTGATCACTGAAGTCACTGAGAGCTCTGGGGCTAACCTCTCCAAGCTACGAGTTGCAACATACGGGTTCTTGATCAATTGTTCTGGGAGGTTGCATTCTTGACAACGTATACCCATGAAGCGCTTGGAGCCTCGTGTCTTATGGTTGAGCCGCTACGTGTGAGCAGACTCGGCCGGATTTTTGTTTACTGAAAGGGGCCCTCCAACCTCGGAATCTCATTATTGACTTGAGGGATGCAACTGTACGGGGGAGACGGCCCCTCTGCGGGGTAAAAGCTTCCCGCCTTTGTGGGGAGCATCAACAGGGGGCTCTGTCGCGTCGCGCAGTCTTTCAGACGTCTCAACCAGCGATCATGTCTACTTTGGAGCAAAGTCTCGCAGCAGTATTTCCCTCGAATTCCCATCAAACGACAAAAGTCAATTTCTATTCAGGGTCTTTTGGTTTCATTGGACTCTGGAGTGATTAGTAAACAAAGTCCGCGGTAGACTCCGAAGTGCAAACACAAAGCTTCTAGTCCTCGACCTGCCCCCGCCGCCCCCGGCCAGGCTAAAATGGCATCCCCCAGACGCCGTCTCATTCCCCAGCCTCCCGCCATCCAATCACAGCTCCGCCGAATATCAGCACGAACCCGGAAGGTCGCCCACGCTCCACAAGAGCCGAGGCTCGCGGCACGATTTCCAGACATGGCTGGACGCCGTCCATTCCCCCTAACCCCCCAGACCGATGTCAACCGAGAGACGCACTGCCTCCTCAACTAGAATGACCTGACCGCCGGGGCGACCTGCTCAAACTCTCTCTTTATCCTCGTGAACCCGCACTCTGGAGAGCCAACCTCAACTCCTCCTCCTTCTACCTCGACGGATATCCCATCTCTCGTAGACGAATCGAGCCTCCAATTCGACTGCTAGACCCCGCCGTCAGCTTGTCCCCTCGATTCTTCCTCGTTAGTCCGAATAATAAAGGAGTGCAAGCACGAACTCCAAACCGCCCACCATGGCCGCAAAGACGTTCTCTCGCGACGAGGTCGCAAAGAACAACACGGAGGACTCCCTCTGGTGCATCATCGACTCCAAGGTCTATGATCTGACCGACTTCGCCATGGGTCATCCCGGTGGCGAAGCCGTCCTTCGTCAGGTCGCAGGCCAAGACGCCACAACCCAGTTCTACAACCTTCACCGTCAGGATGTCCTCACAAAGTACGACAAGACCCTCGTCATCGGCACCGTCGAGGGCGAGAAGCCCCAGGTTATCGTCACCGGCCCCGGCGAGCTGTCTCCCGTGCCGTACGCCGAGCCCACTTGGCTTACGCCGCAGTTCAAGTCCCCCTACTTCAACGACTCGCATCGCTCCCTGCAAAAGGCCATTCGCAAGTTCACCGACGAGCACATCACCCCTGTGGCACTTGAATGCGAGGAAAAGGGCGAAGTCATTCCCCAGGAGCTCATTGATAAGATGTCCAAGGCGGGAGTGCTACACATGCGTCTCGGGCCTGGCAAGCACCTACATGGCGTGGACCTTTTGGGCGGCGCCGTTAATGGCGAGGAGTTTGATTACTTCCACGACATGATTCTCAGCCAAGAGATGGCCCGGACCAACTGCCGCGGTTTTCAGGACGGTATGCTTGCGGGTATGACGATTGGCCTGCCTGTCGTTCTCAACTTTGCAAACTCCGAGTCGCTGCGCAAGCGCGTTGCGGATTCGGTTTTCAGCGGCAAAGACAAGATTTGCTTGGCCATTACCGAAGCATTTGCTGGGAGTGATGTTGCAGGCATTAGAACCACTGCGGAAAAGACACCTGACGGAAAACACTATGTGAGTCTACCAACTTTCTGTTCCCATCCATTTGGGCCACAACCACAACACAAGTTGATCATTAACTAATTAAACCATGGAATAGATCGTCAATGGAACCAAAAAATGGATAACGAACGCTACGTACTGTTCGCTTTTTGTTGTTGGTGTGAAGACAGACAAGGGCCTCAGTGTCCTCCTTATAGAGAGAGGCGAAGGGGTTGAGACCAGGCCTATCAAGACATCCTACTCTCCAGCCGCAGGAACGGGTTTTGTAACCTTTGACAATGTCAAGGTTCCGGTAGAGAACTTGCTGGGCCAGGAGAACAAGGGCATCCACGTCATCCTGAGCAACTTCAACCACGAGCGGTGGACCATGGCTTGTAAGTCTTCATCCCCAGTCGTTCCGCCTTTTAGATCCGGATAGCGCTGACCGTTTATCAACTAGGCGCCACAATCCGCCAATGCAGAGCCGTCGTCGAAGAGTGTCTCCTGTGGGCAAACCAGCGTCTCGTCTTCGGAAAGCGTCTCATTGACCAACCCGTCATCCGTCTCAAGTAAGTATCCAAATCCCCTTTCTGCAACCCTGACCGTCCACTTACACGTCTCCCCCAAAACAGACTCGCAAAGATGATTGCCCTCGTAGAATCCCACCAATCCTGGCTCGAAACAATCACCTACCAGATGAACTCGATGCCCTACAAGGAACAAGCAAAGCACCTCGGCGGGCCCATCGGCCTCCTCAAGATGAGCGCCACCCGCGCCGCGCACGAGATCGCCGACGAGTCGGTCCAGATCTGGGGCGGCCGCGGCCTCACACGGACGGGCATGGGCCGCGTGATTGAGATGTTCAACCGCACGTACAAGTTTGATGCTATCCTCGGTGGCGCGGAGGAGGTGTTGGGCGACTTGGGAGTTAGGCAGGCTATGAAGTTTATGCCCAAGTCGAGGTTATAAGGGAGGTCTTTTGGGACATGGACAAACGGTATCGGTGTTATGTTCCGGGTTATTTGTTGCTGTGAGAATAGGCTACACTATACTACACTACACTGGGACGCCGTCCTCGTGACGGACACGGGATGAAGAACGGGGGCTCATTTGTCAGCTATATATATATATGTACTGTAAAAGGAATCATTCTGGAATGCCTCACATAAACCCTTTTCTTGGACGAAAACTCGGAAGAAAGAAACAAATCAACATTGGATGATCGCCCACCTATAACCCCCTCAATCCTCATAGTCAACAAGCCTCCTCCCCCCCCCCCCCCCTTCCTCTCTCGTGAGTTTGAACAGCGTGAACAGAGTTCGGATATACACCGGGAACGAGACGAGACAACCCGTGTGCTCTGCTGAAAGGCAAAGTCAGAGGCAAGGTAGTCAGACGTAGACAGACAATAGGGTTTCGTTTCGAACGGGGGTGGGGCTTGCTTTGCACCTTTTCCGAGGGGGTAAGAGGGAAAAGGGGCGCGAGGGGGCAGTTGACCAAGACAAAGTATTGCATATCCAAGCCCAAGATACTCGAGTTCCCTCTCTAGAGAGATAACAGCACACTGATGGTATCTAAACGCAATAAATTCCAACATCTCAGAACCCTCAGAACTCTTTTGTATACATTCACAGTGTGACGGTCAACGACACCCGAGGGCAGTAGACCACACAAAACAGCACGGAGCACAAAACTTGGGAAATCATTACCCATAACACCTCAGCACGGATGTGAATCCAAACGCGCGACGAAAGTTTGCACCGGGCGAGTCTGACAACGGGGAGACTTTCCAGTGTTGGGACGACGCGCTTACCTCCAAGTTTCAAAAACATTTTGTCTTTTCTGTTTGGGACGGAGTTTGGGCCGCGGTCGTCAACGTTCACCGTCAACGCTCACGGCAGAAATACTTCTAGAGAGACCGTAGCCCCCCCTTTACATAAGTACGCCGGGTAAGCCCACAGTCCAGCAAGACGACACACACACACATCACAGACACTGTAACGGACACTGGAGAGCAAAAAAAGAGGTTACGACGCAAACTTTCCATTCCCTGCCCTGAACGACAGCCATGACCGCTTAGAACGGCCCACACTGCCCAGGTCGTCGTTACTATTGAGAGTCCTTTCTTTTCCCAGACCGCTCATATGCAACGAAGACCAAGTCTATCAGAGGTCGAAAGCTATTCCGGCCCACAAAAAAGAGGCCCTCCCACTCTGCCTGCTTACTCCCCTCCTCCCAGTTTCTTTTCCATAAGAAAACCGGAGAAGAGGTAAGCGCAAAAGTTTGTGTCTCCCTATTGCGTTGCTGTGCCATCGTCATCCAAACGATCCGAACCAAACCCCGCATTTTGCCGAGGTTGTAGCGGACCCAATGCGAAAGGTGTATCTTGGTGCGTTAAGAAAAAGCCGTGATTCATATGCCGTTGTCCGTGTAAAACTTTTCCGCGGGCCGAGTCCCAGAGTTGTTTGCCGTGAGAACATGAGAGCAAGGAAGAAAAGACGAAAAAAGACGAGGGTGAAAAAAGGAAATGTACAAAGCATCCGCAATGCCTAGTTGATATCGCAAAAGTGAGCCACGGTGGCCTCGAAGCCGTCGAACCGTCTCGAAACCGAATCTGCCATGAAGGCAGACCACTCATCGCCGATAGTCATCGCAGACTTAGTTGTTGGGGCACTGGGACTGGACGTGTCCGGGCTGCTGGCACTTGTAGCAGATCTTCTCGCCGCCGGAAGACTCCTTAGGGCAATCGCGGGAGAAGTGGCCGTTCTCGCCGCAGTTGTAGCACTTGGAGCCGTTGGTGCAGTCGCCTTCATGGTATGTTAGCACGGTCAAACTGGCAATCTGGAAACCATCTCGGGTACTCACGAGACATGTGGCCGTAGCCACCGCAAGAGTAGCAGGTCTTCTGGCTGGCACCGCCGTAGCCACCACCGCCGGAGTAACCGCCACCGTAGCCGCCACCGTAGCCACCGCCGGCCTTGGGGCAGTTGCGGGCAATGTGACCAACCTCACCGCACTGTTATATCGTGTTAGTACTGACATTCGGCGCGTTCAAGATAAGGCGAAGCGAACCTTGTAGCACTCGGAGCTGGAGGGACCACCACCACCACCGACGTTGCCGCCCTGGGGGCAGTCACGGCTGATGTGGCCAGCCTGGCCGCAGCGGTAGCAGGACTTGGTGTCCTTGGGGCCCTCGGGGCAGTCACGGCCTTGAAGGATGTAAGTCAACAATCAACCTCATGAAGATCTCGAAAAGGACTTACTCATGTGACCCTCGTCTAAAGCGAACGTCAATCAGTCATCTCGTCGGTAACACACAGATACATCAAAACTCACTGCCGCAGTTGTAGCTATGTCCGAGTCAGTATGGGGCATATCAGGCAAACAAGATCATATCAACGTACCACTTGGCGGCGCCACGGTTAGGGCACTCACGGGCCTAGAAAGAGTCAGTAAGTCGAGGGCTAGGCGTCGTAACATCCTTCAGCAAGTCGTACCTGGTGACCAGCAGCACCGCCTAAATATCTCTGGTCAGACTCTTGCGCTCATGAATTGTAACGACGTTTGGAGGGAAAGGCATGATCAAGGTGTCACTGGCACACCGGCTCAGAGTCAGTAAGACGACGCAGTAAGGGCATACACGCGGCTTCTTTGACAGATCTGGGTCCAGAGATACGAACCTAGCGAAGCATTCACGCCAACGCGAATGCTTTGCCAAGCCTCTTTCCAAGTGATAATTCCAGCTTCGTACTGAGAAGACCCCACCAAACACCAACTTGAAAGTCATGTAGTTGCTTGATAGAGCTCTCTACGCCCGCATATACCAGCAACCTCAAGATCCAGTGGACACATGATAATATAAACTCGGGAGGAGGGGCCCAAAGGTAAGCTGCACAAATGAAACAACCACCAATAACTGGTGGGAAAAGTTCAGTGTGGAAGCGGTGAGACTCGGTGAACCAATGGCAACCAAATCTCGGATGAAAGTGCCAGTCGATACCGAAAGCCACAAAGCCACCCACAGAAACGAAAGTGGAAAAATTGAAAAGCATGAAAAGCAGCGCGTAGGTTGGAAAAAGTGGTGAGACGGGGGAAGCGCCGAAGCTGGGAAGGCTACTCACAGGTGAAGCAGGTGCGAGCCTGGGGGGCGCCGGCAGATCCCTGGAAATCCATTGCGATTGATGGTGGGTTGGTAAGGAGTAGTAACGGTGGTGTTAAGAACTGGAAGAAAGGCGTTAGAATAACGGCAAAGTCGATGAGATGATTTGAGATTGTCGAGAGGAGGAATTGATTCAAGCTTTTCGTGTGAGAAGGGGAAAAGAGCTGGGAGGCGAAAGACGGCCTTGTCGCAATGTGGTTGACGTGGGGAGGGGCAAGTGGCATGTGTGTGCTTGTGTGTGTGCGCTTGTCTGTTGTGTGTGTGCGGTGCGCGATGTGGGGAAGTTGGAGATGGAGGTGCGTGTGTGTGCGCGCCGCCTTCGTCAGATGCAAGAGGTGAATTTGTGGTTGGCAGCTGGCAAGCTCTGGAGGGTTTTTTGTTCATGTCGATGACGGGATCCCAGTCGAGTTGAATAATATCCCATATTGGTGAATGGAGGGGCTTTCTCTCCTCTCCCCGCGGATGACGGTCAGGAAAAGGGCTACACTCACGTATGAAGGGCGGATAATCGAGCCGTGATCAAAAATCTCTGCTCGAAAGGAAAAAAAGGAGGGTTGTTTTTTCCGTAGTGGTTTTGCAAGGTTTGTGATGGGTGGTGGTGGTTTTGTGTTGTGGGAGAGAAGGGGAGGGAAGCAGTCGTTGCGGCCAGGGAGTGGCCAAGGTTAAAAAAGAAAAGGCAGCGAATTTGGATTGTCAGACCGCCTTGTGGAGCCCAAGAAAATCTGGTAGATGGGCAGGCGCCGGAGCACCAATCAGATAGGCAAGTCCCTTCTCATAAGGGGAAGAGCCCGTCTCTAGATTCTGGATGCCCCCTTCTGACCTTTCCTTGGGCGTTTCTGGCTTGGACCGGGCAGGCGGCATTTGTGTTTGATTGCAACTTGGTGACGGGACTGTCCATGAAAGATGAGCGTGTGTACGGAGTAGTATGTGTGTGTGACGGAGATTGACACGGTTGGCTCACCTCACCTCACCTCTCACTTCGATTCTCTCAGTATACTCACTTGCCGTAATACTATTCAGCCGGTGAACGCCCTTGATGTTGTCATAAAGTCGCTATAAATCTGACAGGCTTACTCCTCAGTCTTACAACAGGTACATCTAGACAATGGCCAGTTCGATATGGTTATGACATAGGTACTTGCCTACGTTTGTCGAGCACTCCAATAAGGTGCCTGTTCATCTCCCGTTCCCCTCATACGTATCTCTGACCGTGGCGGGCCTGCCTTGCCTCATATGCCTGTGCCTAGCTACAGCCCACAGCTCTCATAACCTAGCCATCAATGCCCGAAATGCGCCGGCGCCTTTTCCCCATAGCCGAAGATGAGATTGTGCTGTCTGTCAGCTTCAGATAGGTACCGGCAGGGCACAATCACACAGTTGGAACTCCTTGGGCAGAATCAGGCCAGCCAAAAGGGGCGGCAGCTAGTTTGCCTCACAAATGCAGCGTCGGGAACCGACCCGGACTGGGCTTGCCATTGAGGGCTACTACGGTCATGGCCATATTCACACCGCATTACGTAGGTATTCAGAATTCCCCAGAGACCTGGGTGCCCCCCTTCCATGACGATGAAGGTTCAAAAAGTTGAGATGAAGATACTTAAAGCTCGGGTTTCTGATAGCCTAAAGAACCTTCCAATAAGGCCGGACAGGACGGGACACCAAACTTTAACATTTCTGATGGTGGGGGGAAGGGGAACGAAGAATAAGCCGTCGGGGGGCAATGGAAGCGCTTCGTTCGAGCCCTTCTCTTCGCAAACTCCAGGGACGGTGAACTCAAAGGCAGGTGACTCTACAAATTCAATTTCACATCGTCGATGCTCTAGACCGGGTTGGTCACGGTAAGAGTAAGGTGCCTTTTCTTTCACTCAAGTCGATCGAAGTGGACTGCTAGAGCCTACGTAGTAGAGTTGCTCATGAGACCCCCTCCTCCCCACCACCCGGTCGCTGTCCTCGCGCAGTCCGTATTTCATTTTTGCCCCTCCATTTTTTTCGACACTTTTTTTTTTTCTGCCATGGGGAAAACAAAAATACCAATCAGAAAATTCAGCATGTCGAAGGCAGGCAGGTGGGGTACCCCTGTGTAAGATTCTAAAAATCGCCGAGAGGCAGGTCAAATGGCAGCACTGGCAGGCCAAAGTGGCAGGCCAGGCCTGGCCCCAAAGTTACCCAAGGCCCTAAGGCACTGTGAAATGCGATGCCCCAAACCTCGCTAAACCCCTTCCATCCCTACGAGGGGTCGGAAATCCTTGATTTCGTGCCACTGTGCTCCCGTCCCTTGCATCTCTCCCTGTCCTGTCCTGAGCAGCCCCTCATCACACGCTCCTCTCATGCTCATGCTGCTCATCTCAGTGGTCTCTCACTCATTACGCTCCCACCTCACCCGATGAGTGGGCTCTGATAAGTCTCTCGTCTCACAATCCTCTGCCAGACTGCCACAGTTGCTGCCCCTCTTATGCAGCCTGGACGTATGAGAATGAAAGAGGGGTGAATCTCGTACACTGCGGAATCGCGGATATGCTGGCTCACACTGTGTCGACAATCAGGCAAGGTCAGCCTTGCTTGCGCTTGAATGAGAGATGGTCGCTGGTGAGTTTTGTCTCTAGCAGCCGTCGGGCGTCCTGGGCAGCGGGCTTTGGCTGTCCATGTAATGTCTGAATAATCAACCTGAGGTTGCACCGTACGAGCGCTCTTTGCATGCCCATAATCCGCGTATTGTTAACCCTGTGTTAGGAAGTCTCGGCTACATATGCCTCAGTTTCGTACCCCGCGATCCCGGCCTGACCACTGGTAAGTGGTTGCTGTAGATGGTTGTGCGTCCGTGGGATGACACATGCCTCAGTGTGGTCCCTTCGCACTGCTGGTGTCAGTGGTTTGTGCTTTCTAGCTCCAGCTCCGGCTTTAGCTTCGAGAAGCTCGTGAACCTGCTGCAGATCATTGGCGGAACACCGACACTCGAGGATGGCTCTCAGAAAGCTTCCCGTGTCATGGTGTCTGGTCGTCACACTTTCATTCGACTCAAGAGTCATCTGCCTTGGACGTTCAGCCCACCTGCTACCCAAGGGCACAGGTACGCAAGCTGATAAACAGCCCTGTCGGAGATGCCATCAAAGTAGGTTTAAACCGAACCGAGGCTTGGACGGCCCCTCCAGATCGACAGCGTCCCCCTCATCAAAAGGCAAACCCCATTCACGAAAGAGAGAAGACCAAAATGACAAAAAAGCCTAGATTATCGGCTCCGTGCTTTTCAACCTCCTTTTCAACATCCTCCTCACCCCAAACTCCTTTTCGTGATATCTCACTGGAGGAATAAACGCACAAATCCCACGAGTTTCATTTCACTTTCGAGTTTCGGAAACGCATTTAGCCATGCTCATCCAGGCGAACCAGAGCAGAGGATTGGTTCGTTCCATCGAGATGCACCTCCGGTCCGGTCAGATCTGCCGCGTTCAATCTCGGCCAGTCTTCCCTTTCAGGTTGGTGGTAAGCTTTTCGCCCGGGCCTGTGAAATCATGTAGACCGGATGAACCCGGTCACCCATTTCAACCGACGGCCACTTCGCTTCGTACTTTGCTTCGCCGGCAACCCTTCCCTTATCCGCGACGCTTGCACAACTGCCAAGAAACTTGCCCTGGCCTGCTGGTCTTCCGCACGTCGTTCAATTCGATGGTCTTCGCTTGTGCCCGTTGTCGCCGCAATTGTTGGTTGGCAACGATATTCCATCGAATGTTCTCTCGCTTAGCCAGCCATTACGCAACGAACGCGCAACGAATTGGGTGCACTGTGCAACTAAATACATGTCTGCTGCAGCTGCAAGCTAGGTATCGTTAACTGCGGTTTGTGTCCAACCGCTGCAACGTAGCAGACGGGCTTCCTCGCGGACCTCGTGGGCTCCAGGCGCATAGTTCACAGGCTTGTCACCCGAGAAATGAAGCGGCGATGGTCGCGACCTTCCCGAAACAGCTTCATGGGCGGACGCCGGGAAAACATGACGGCGCCATTGCATCTCTGCAAATGTGAAGCATTTTCGAATGCGACTTGTGTGGAGTCTCTACCGGACCACTGGCCTCTTCGAGGCCGCACCTGCGACCCAAGACGCTAGAACGGCATGTAACCACAAACCACCGCAGTGATATGCAGGAGAGCCCGTAAGTCATAGGGGCGGCGCGGAGACCAGCAATGGGGCCTGCTCATGGATACCGGCATTTGTCCGCTAGATTGTCTGCCACATATTTCTCGAGCGGAGACGTGGCATCGACAAGCGTTGCGAGTCCCGCTGATTGCTGTAGCCAAACATGCATCGGATGTGAAAGATCTTGTGGGCTACTGGAAAGTATTTGCCGCTTCTGTCAGCAACGGAACACCGAGCACCTTCACCAGGCCATGCAGGAAGAGTCGCTGACCACGTGCAATATGCTTCTCAAAGCTTGGCTCTGAGTTGCGCATATGGTGCCGAGAGCAATTCTCGTCCATCTTAAGTAAGCATAATGTGATAGTCAGTTTGAGCACTAGATATCTCTAAGCTTCCGCATATGCTTTTAACAGCAGATGGCGATACTTTTAGCCTCATCTGTGATAAGTCGGTTTCCCTCTAGTCAGGTATTGCAAACGTGGCGCTTTGTGGTCATCAGATTTATCCGTGATCCGGTGTTCCCGTGGGGATGCATGGTCGAGGGGCGAGATATATGTGAAGCCCGGCATTGCCAATTCGAGCCTCAACCGAGCTCTTGCAGAGTCAGAGACAAGACAGCTGTGTGGTCGACGAATCAACCCATGTCGCAGTCTCCCACGACGATCATTCGCTAGGGTCGGTGACCGTTGAAGAGCTGCCGGGCCGGACGACCGTAGCCCGTGGGGAATTTCGGGGGCCCACTGACCAGAGCGTGTCTTCAATCTTAGTAGCTTTGAAACGTTCATAAGTAGATATATCGGAGTAGCCGTGCAGGCCCACCAGTACCCGTATCACGAGCCATTCCAGCCGTACCAATTGATCGAAGCCTCGAAGGCATGTTGCTCTGCATTTCCTCCTGCGCCCCGCCCAAGGTATTCTCACTGCGGAAGTGGCTCCGATGCAGTCAGTCTCCATCGCAAGGTTTGTGCAAGGAATCAGACCGCCGGCCTTTGTGCTTGGGTCACCCCGAAATTGCAGTGGTACCGGGAACTGCGAATCAATGAGGAGTAGCAAATAGGGCATTTTCAATTTGAAAAGATTGTATGATAACGTAAAGTTCGAATGTGAGATCCAGAAATCCTCGTCGAGGAAGTCTGCATAAGTTGATATTAGAGGAGAGCATGTTGCTGTTAGGTGGCTGAAGCAGGAGCTCTGTAAGTTGAGAAGTGGCTGGTGGGGAATCCAGCCACAGATGCACGGATCATTTTGTGGCGGATAGATCGATCTGGAAATGTCTTGGCACGACGCGCTTCAGGGAAGGCGCGTCTTAAGGTAGTTTGGCGTACCGCGCACCCACGTGAAACCCAGCTTCAGCCTAACTGACGTCCACACAACCCCAAGCAGGCTTCAAAGTGTCCTGGTAGCTGCCGTTGTAAATCATGGAAAACTGGTCGCCGGAAGGCCGGGCGGCTATCCAAGATGCCTTCGAAGCATTGTGTGAAACAGTTAGCAAGCAACTTGACAGCGGTATGTACACGCAGATGCCCTGACGTAATGACAATGTAATACTAGCTTCTCAACAGAGGTCGAGCAGAGGCTTAAGGAGGACGATCGATCCCGCGCATTCCTCACAGATGAGCTCGAAATATTGAAGTCTCGGTCCGACGAGGTTGATCGCTTGGAAGAGGAAAATCGGAAGCTGAGGACGAAACTCCTCCAAATTCATCACCAAAATCGCTCTGTCGAGTCATCTCGAGGAAGCCCTCGGCCGAGTTATGTTACCAACGACCAAGCCACCAACACAGACCCCGCCTCTGCAGATGGTCCTGAGAATGGAGGCGACCTAGAGAACGTGCTGCGGGAAAGCCACAAGCTGCGACGGAAATACACTGCCCTGGACCAGAATTTCAGGATACTCAAAGCAGAATTCAATAAGAGAAGGGACGAGAGGAAGGAGGAGATCAAGAAATGGGAAGACTATGCGACAGAATTGGAGACGAAGGTCAAAGTCTTGGAGCAACGTGATGGTGACGCCTATGCGGCTGCGTACACAGCAGAAGGCCTTCAAGAGCAAAGCAGGCCGCGCGCTCACTTGGCTTCGAGGTTGACAATCGATCCTGATACCGGGATCTTGACGACACTCAGCAATTCGCGGGCTTTGCGACAATATTCTGCCGAGAGAGCTCCCGTGCAATCAGATGTCGAGACGCAGGATCTGTCTGCCGCAGATACCACGGAGGGGGAGACGACAGAGGGTAGTAAGGACGCCGATGCTGTTACTCTTCCACCATTGAGACAGACCGCCAAAACGGATTCAGACATTCGCATCAAACCAGAGCCTTCCTCCGACGGGCCTATTATCGTCTCTGAGCGCCTTGTAGGCAAGAGAAAGCACGCCGATTCCTCCTCAGAACAACAAGGACGACGTAGGGTGAAGATTGAGAGCTCGAATCTTACTACTGGCCCTATTACTAGTCAGCTTCAACAAGAGAGCATGGACCTGGATGAGGTCGGTCAGAGACTAAGCACGCCACGGAAGAATAGGTTATGGGCTGATGCCCTGGCCACGCCCGGTCAAATAAACATGGAGCGAGCTCAGACAGCCGCTCCCGTCTTTGTCAGGCACGACAACACCAATACTCCGACTACCAGGATACCCAACTCAACAGCGGTTCTGACACCGATCAACCCCAACGCTCGTCCGGTGCGCCCGTATGAGTTGAACACCGTGGAGAAGCCAACAAGGAAAGGGCTCGCTCAAGGCATAAGGAGCTTGGCTGAGGACGGCTTTGTTTATGATGAAACGGGCCGCGAAGAGCCGGCGGGGCTTTTCCGCACCCCGCAACCTCTCGGTCGCTTGAGTACGCTATTGAACGCACCATCTCCAGAACAAGCCCCTGCCATAGTACGGTCAACACCTCGTATTCGGGATACAGGTCGAGCGGTGGAGGATGGACCACAGTTTCCCGAGCGTCGGGAATTGCCATTCAATAAAGAACGCCGGGACAGGTCGACGGAAGCTCCAATCGGCCGGAGGGAGCACGAGGAGAACACGGAGCCCGCCACAGCCCGCGGGCAGCCCAGAAATCGTGCGACGGTCGGGGCACAGTCGCTACCCCAGAAGGGGGCATTAAGGTCAAAGCCTGCCACTTCCCTACGGCTTGAAGATTTCAAGGTCAATCCAAAGTTCAACGGCGGTTCCGACTACGCATTCTCGGAGGTGGTCAGGAACAGAGAAGACAGAGCCTGTTTGCCTGGTTGTACAGACATGAACTGCTGTGGCCCTCAATTTCGCGGCATGGCTTTGGCTCAAAAGAACAATGTCCATCGTACCCCGGCATCAGACACCAAATTGTTTGAGGATTATCTCGGTGACAGAATCACTATCATTCTGGGGATGTCCAAGGCAGAGAGGGAAGACTTGTGGATAGAGGCTAAAACATGGCAACTCGCGAATGAGTTGGGCAAACATCGTCATCGTTACGCTCGAAGGGCATCTCCTCCGGGCTTCTGGAACGCGGATTTCCCTACTACGCAGGAAGACGAGGCTGAGAGGGCAGAAGGCGAGAAGAGGGAGAAGCAAATGATTCAAGAACGATATCGGGAAGCAATGAGAGGAGGGGGACGCTGGATCTTCAAGGACGAGTGAATCAGCTGTCGATGACGGGTCCTCAGCGAGGCGCACAGGAGCATTTTGTTTAAACCAGCAGGTGTACATGTTCCGGGCGTATACTGAGTCGTCGTAACAAGACTTACAATAGCGTCGAGGCTAAGCTAGCATGCATTGTTCATTTCAGAGGGATGAGCGACTGGGATATTCAAGGCTCCAATACCAATAAGAAGCAATGAGAAGCTGAGAAGGGAGCTGTGCAGACTCGAGCTATGGATTACCCGCAACGCGTATATGCTAGAGTCCCGCCGGGACACGGAAGAGTGAATGCTTTCCAGCCTCACCGAGCTCACCTCTGAGCGTCTGAGGTGTGTTCACCGGCCCAGCCAGCTATAGTGGGGCCGATTTCGGGCAAATTGCGGAAGAAGAGACCCAATACCAGCCTGCGATGATCGAATAGTGATCTGTGCGCGAGGCTTCGGCTCAGGCAATCGCATTGCGCCAACAAAGCCCGGAGCCCGCTGCCCGCTAGCTCCAGGTTTACGGTTCTACCTCTCCCGCGCGCGGCTTAATTTTTTGTCATCTCCATTGGAAGCAACCGCACAGCTAACTTCGCAGCCGTCGCCCCGTCCCAATCCTCGACCCTTCACCGTTGCTGCCTTCATCGCAGCTCGCCCCTCCGTGTCTGCGCGATTAATCACCTGTGTCGAGCAACTTGTTCATTTTATTTCTCCCCCCCTTTGCTCGTTCGGAATACTTTAGTCGGGCCCATTTTCTTCCCAACGATTCCCCGCAACCCCTACGAGAGCGACGCACGACTGAGGGCGATTGGAAATATTACCTTCTCGTGCATCCCACACGATCAAATAACCTAATACTCGATACTCGAACCGATCTCAGACTAATCTGTCGACGCTCCATTGCGAACGCGCCGACAAACGTGTTGAAGGAAGCCGCAGATTCAAGGCAGTGATAGTTCCAGCCGTGGACGATCACTGCAAATACACGACTCCCAAGCCGGCAGGATGAACAATCGTCATCTGCCGGCTGGGCAAGCCATGCCGGGGGGCGGAGGGCCAGGAGGAGGTGTCGATATGGGTGGTGGTCCCGGAGGGGGTAACAGACGGAGGATGCAGCAACAGCCGACGTATGCGCAATACCAGCAATATCAACAGTATCAGCAGCAGCCCATGTATCCAAACTACATGAACCCCTACGCTCAGCCGACGCCGTATTACCATCAGCTGCCGCATCAGTACCAGAACGGAGGCATGCCCTCTGGCTACATGCACTATCAGCAACAGCAGCCCTACGTGCGGTCACCACAGGCCATGCCTCAACCTCAATATGTCCCCATGGCCGGCGTGAGCGTTCCTCAGCCGTATTCGCAACCGTCGCCTGCTCTCTCAACGCCGTATCACCCACCTCCCGTCCCTGCTGTCAACCCTATTCAGACGCCGCCGCCTCCTCCGCCTCCGCACGTTGAACCTACGCCCGAGCCTTCAGTCGTCACACCTTCTGTAGTGTCCTCGGTCGTGTCTTCATCAGTCGTCACGCCCTTCGCTGAGCCATTCCACCCGGCCGCGGTGCCCTCAGCCCCTGCCTCTGCCCCTGCTCCCGAGAGCCCAGAGCTTCCCAAAGATGTAAAGGAATTTCGCGCACCAGTAAGTCCAGCAGATCCTATTCATGTTGGCTTCGTAGCTAAACAAAGAAAGCTCCCTTGGACACCTCCCGACCAAGCACCGTTCCCTAGAAGGGCTCCCAAGTCAAGGCGGAGCAGAAGATTGATGAGCGCGAATGCTCAGAATCTGACACTGCCTGTGGAGCAGCACGAGGGCGCTCTCGAGTCGGCCACCAAAAGCGGCACGGAGGACAGCCTCCAAGTGAAGGCCGATGCGAAGAAGGTGGCGCCCTGGAACTCCAAGGACACCGACTCCGAGAGTGCCACCCTGAGAGCAGACTCCCTGGCGTCTGAAACTCCTAAGGAGAGTGACAGGTCAGCGACTAGCGTCTCAAACATGGGCAGCCCGAAGGTGAATGTACCGGGGTCTGAGGCCAGACCCACGACAAGCAACTCGAACGCCTCGGCGTCCCGCCCTGCCGTTCCTGTTGTCCCAGTCATCCCAGCTCTTCCGAAGAGCAGCCCCAAGGAGGCTAAGGCAACAAGCGTCAGCCAGCTCGCAGAAGAGCCCAAGCAAGTTGCATCTCAGGAGGCGAAGCCTGCTGAAGCAACAGAGGGCACGGAAGTTGCTGGCACGGAGCAAGAGAAGCTCGAGGCTCCTCCGGCGGCTCCCGCCAAGGCGGCCCCGAAGTCATGGAGTGGACTGTTCTCCGCAGCCGCCGCCGCTGCTGCTCCCAAGGCGCAGCCCGCTGCTAATGGCCCTGTTGCTCCGGCCGCGGCCAACGGTGCCACCACAAATGGCGATGGTGCTGTCAACGGCAGCGCACCCACCTTTTCTGCAGGAAACACAAA